TTAGTGATCTCATTGAGAGGTAAGAAGCAAGGTAACCTATTAAGCTGATCTGTGGTCATTCTTTATTCTCTTTTCTGTAGAGTGATTTGGTTATATTTGTGGCCAGGAGGGTTGCTTAATATTCAGAATTGATGTGTTGCTAGTAAATGGAGGCTGGTCTAGTTGGCAAAGTGAATGAAAACATAAATAGGATTATTTTATTATTATCATAGGTTAATTAGGATTCTTATTTTTATTTAAATTAGGATATTTTGTTAGGATATCTAGATAATGTTAGGTTTAATTTAATAAACTAGGATTCATCTTAAATAATCTAAATAAAGTTTATCTTATCTTTAGGGTTATAGTAGCTTAAGCAGGATTAGGAAAAAGTCTCTATGAATAAGACCTAGGAGTATTTGTTGGTATAGGCTTTTGCCATTGAGTAAAATTCATAATATTTGCCATATCTATATCTCCCTCAATTTCTTTCTATTTTCTCCCTCTTTCCTTTCAAATTCTTCCTCCTTTCTCCTTCTCTTTCCCCCTTCCTTCACTGTATTACATCAAATATTTCTGATTCAAATTCTACTACTGATGTGAGAATTTGGTTGTTGACTAATTTGTAAGTACCTTTATAAGTGCTTTGAGTCATTAAGCTTGATCCTTGTGAGTCTTCAAAACCTAACTCATCTAAACTTACAAACGAAAGATGATATTTTTGCTGGCTTTAGTTTTATATGGCAAGAGCCTGAATGGACCTGCTTCTATTTTCTCCCCTGCTGTCTTGTAATGTCAGTAATCTTAATTCAAAGTTGTGTTTTGCAGCCTGGAAAATGCTGGGGAAGGTTCTGTTTTAACCATGCTGAGGTCAATGAGGATGATATTAGAGCTAATTGCCAAAGGGAAGTCAACTGCTGCCTTTTCCCCTGACATCATTGATGCACAGGTTCACTTAATAGCTTTCTGTGAAGATTGTGCTCTTTCCCAGGTTTCATTTTGTAAGATGTTGTATGTTAAATGAATTTGCCATTAGCATGCTGTGTGTGCCCCGGCGGCAAACTTTGGACATGTGATTTTTAGGTCAGAAGTCAGCATTATGCATAGGTTTGGCAGGTTTGCTGACTGCTGATTGCCCCTGGATCCTAGGAAGTAAATCAAACTTGCGGGTTTTATTAATTTACTTGCGGAATCTTTTGTTTTGCACCTGATTTTAAAAACCTTCTACATGCCTTTTAGTCAGAAGTTAAAGGTTCACCTACAAGCTGAAATATAGGTGAATAAACATATCTTGTAATGAGAGAATGATACTTAGGTCTCAAAAGATTAATTAATAACAGTTAAGGCTTAAATATTTTTTCTCCCGACAATTTAATGATTTGCATGAGATTCTCATATTTGTAACTGTCTGAATTGAATTTGCAACTCATCTTTCAATAAAATTTTTGGGACCTAATTGTAATTAAATTGAACTTTTGGAACCTAATTGTCATTCCTTCTATATTATTGCTTGTGGCAATTTGATATACTCTGAATATTCTTGCTTCAGTTTTGCTTGTATCCTTGCCCTTCTGTGGGACGTAGGTTGCATAAAGGTATGGTTATTGCTCACAATGCTTTAGAAATTATGGGATTTCCCCCCTCTTCCCCCCAAAAAAGGTATTTTATGGATTTCCCCCATCTACAGTTATATTTGTTATAGGAATGCTTGAATTTCTTTGCGGGTTGACTTCAGAATCTTCATAATCTAATGAAATTTTAAGGAGTATTTGGGTTTATTTGCTTCTTTTATGAGATTTGCTGCTTAAGTTATTTTCATCACCACTTGAAACGGCTTGGTAATGGTAATGTGCTGATCTTATAACTTGCAATCACTTTTTAGATGATGTGGCATTTGGTCCATTCCTCTTGGATATTGCATGTGAACTGCAACAAGCGCAGAGTTGCTTCAATTGCTGCTCTTCTGTCATCTGTTTTGCACCCTTCTGTTTTTAATGATGAGAGCATGCATGAAACAGACAATGCACCTGGACCCTTGAAATGGGTGTGTTTTTCTTCCCATCCAATGGCCCAATCTTTGTGCTTTTTTTGTGTATTTTCTCTGCTGATATCTTGCAAATATTTACTGTTTTTTTGAATTGCTGGATTTCAGTTTGTTGTAAATCTTCTTGAGGAAGGTACAAAGAGCCCTCGAACAATTCGTCTTGCAGCATTGCACTTAACAGGGTTATGGCTCTCACATCCTAGGATTATAAAATTCTACAGGAAGGAACTGAAACTACTAACTCTCTATGGTTCAGGTAGCAAACAGGTTTATCTGCAGCTGGTATATAACTCTTTTATGGCTGTCTGTTTATTTGCTTTGTAATGTAAATATGATTATGGATCGGGATTGCTTGTTTCAGTTGCATTTGATGAGGATTTTGAAGCTGAACTGGCTGACAACAATGATGCAAGGGTGGAAGTCTCCTTATTGGCCAGAAGCCCTGATCCTGAGCTGACTGAAGTGAGCTACCCAATATCTTGAATGATTTGTTTATATTCTGTTGAAAATACTGTTTTGTTGCTGGTGAACAAAAAGAATACAACCAAACACTTTTACGGGAAATATTAAAGATAAGATGAGTTGTAGAATGAGCTTTAACAAGAGTGTCACATGGTGTACTAACATTTATTGTTAGAGAAGGCATTTGATTGATGAGGTAGGTAGATGTAGCCACAGGCTCCCAATACTAATGAGGAACATTGTTTGTGAACATTATAGCCCTAGCCACTTAGTGAATGTGCCTGTTTTTCCTTTCTGCTGACCCATTTTCATGTGGCATGTTTGTGCAAGAAATTTGATGTGTTCCTTGAGAGCTATGGTAAGATGCAAATTGATTGTTTGTTTATTCTGTTCCGTTATCTCTTTACACTTTTATGTTTGTTTGAAATTGATTTGGAGTAAGTTGATCAAATTTTGTGAATGATGAAAGAGCTTCAGTTTTTTCTTTTAAGAGGAAAAGCCATGTGGTGCTACAACAAATTTATAAACCTCCTACAACTAAAAATTCTTCCTAGATGGACCCTATGATGAAGAGGTTGAGATGGTTTGCAAGTGTGGAGGGATAATTAGGTCGTGTATGTTTTGCTAATTCACATGTTTCCCATTAATATTATGACGATTGATGAAATATAAGAATTAATATATTTTGAAGAAACCTCCGAAGGAAATGTATCTTAATTTTATATTTTATTACTTTATGTTTTTGCTTTATTTAGCAAGCGGGTGTTTTATCATTTCATTTATTAAATGGGCCGCAAGTGGGTGTTTCCTTGAACGGAGGAAACGTTATATTTTATTTTGATTTTAGGTTTCCTTCATAAGAAGTAAACCTTAGCTGTGGCTCCTATAAAAAAGCCACCATGCAGCACATGCAAGGGATATAATCAGGTGATAATGAAATGAATTTTGCTATGGTTTAGCTACTCTGTCATCCTTCAAGTTCTTCATATTCCCCTTCCTTCTAGTCTTTTCTTACCATTTCTCTGCCTGATCTCCCTTTCATATGTTCTGTCTGTCTCTTTCCCGCTCCCTCTTTTTTCTTCGTTCCTCTTCTCTCCCCCTCCCTGTTTCTGTTTTTCTCCTACTCTCCCTTCGTTTGCATCTGTGCAAATGTGCGTGAGTGTGTGTTGCATCATATTAGAAATATTTTTATTGAATCAACTAGGATACAATCTTTCCTTAAATTGAGAATTAGGATGCCCGTCTTATTTTGGTTTTAAAATGTGAGTTTTTTTAGGCAATAGAGAAACTACCTGACCTGATTGTGCCATATTTCCAGCACTCGCATCACCCTTATTTTCAGTGTGTTATGCTTTTGGCTTCCAAACAACTTATGTGGCAACTCAAATTGGTGTCGGGGGAAAAGATAGGATACACATATTCAGACTGCTTTTCTCCTTCAGCAGCATATCCTATGCCTTCTCTCCTTTGCTTGGACCTCCAATTTGGAGGCTTTCCATGCATCTTCTGACAATTCTCCCTTATGGGACCACCTTTTTGATGGTGGTCACACCAGCTTGAGCTATTGTTCTTGCTGCCATGGTTGACATATTTGGATTATTGCTGCCACTGGGAGTGCCATGAGTTACCAAACCAGCACCGTCAAGTCACTTGTCTGCACTGTTAGGAGTTCCCTGCAAGGCTTTTCTTCCCTCCTAACTTTGGAACAGAAGCAGTTTTTAGTCTAAGTGAAGGTTTAATGTCTAGGATTCTTTTCATTTACATCATCTAGGTTGATGTGAAGATCTATTCAGAATTTGTATATTCGCCTTTTTTTCAACCATCTTGTAAATTATCTGCATCTTCAGTGCAGCTCCAGGAATGCTTCTCCTATTGGTCCGGCTGCAGCCAATATTTGGAGAGTTCATGGAAGCATTAATTATCAGGCTTTTCACCTTGTTTAACTTCTTCTAGTGTGCATTCAATTTGGAAGATATCTACTGCACCATCTTGTGTGGATAAATCTTATTGGGCTGCCTCCCATATCTCAACTGCTGTCTCATAGAACATATGCATTTCACTAATTCTCATTGCCATTAATTAGCGAGCCAAGCCATTACCTGGTTATTTTCAGCCTTCTTGATCCTTTATCTTGGATCATTTGAGGATGGCATGTGGCATGCCTGTCTCTTCAGTGGAGTACCCTTCCTTTCCTTTGCCAACCACAAATATGGTTATAGATATACTCCACGATGGGCAATTGTACTTGTTGAGTTTGTGGTCAATGATACATATTGGGATTGATTCATTTATCTTGTGATTCAATTGGCTCAGCATCGGGTTTTGGTGTGCGTTTGGCTTCAGTGGTGCTTGGGCTGGGAGTGGTTTGGAAACATATTTGGTATTGTAGAAATTTGAAATTTATAGATCAGATACCATGAAATTGAATCAGAGCTGAGAGAGCATAGAGCTATTTTAAGTTTTATTGATAATTCAACTTGTGTACAAGATAGACTAGAAGCTAGAATAAATAGGGGCAAAAGAGTGCTGGTCAGCAGCTCCAAAAGAGGGGGAGTGAAAATGCATTTTACATTCTTAAATCTTGGGTATTAAGTGCCTCACGGCCAGGAAATAAATTGAGATGACTGTTGCTGAAATATAGGTACTTAAGGACGGCCAAATCTTAATTATTTCCAGATCTGGTTGTTTTTTAATGCTTTATTTTCAACATATTCTTATTTCCATTTTATACCCAAATTGAAGTTTAGGTTTCATATTGGGAACATGATATGCTGATTGCCAAGTATTGCAAATGTTTCATAGTGCAGTTTGTTTAGTTCCCAGAAACTGCTGACTTCTGTGTTTGTTTGCTACTTCCTTATCAGGCATATATTAATACAGAGTTGTATGCTCGAGTTTCTGTTGCTGTTCTGTTTCACAAGTTGGCTAGTATGGTGGAATCATCAACCCTAAATCCAGATCGCATTGCAGCTCTAGCATCTGGCAAATTGTTTCTTCTTGAGCTCCTTGACTCTGCGGTAGTAGATTACTGTTATTAGATGATAGAAATATCTTATGCTAAAGGATGAAATGCTTTCTACTACAATAACATTGAGATCACGAGATACACTGATTGTATTGCATAGTATATTTGAGCTGCTGTGAGATTCTTTTCTTGCTGGTATTATATGAACCATATTTACTTTGTTGGCATTGCATCAAAAAATTGTGGTCTGAAATGTTAAAAAATTGGTTTGCCCTGATTTGGAGTAATGACTAGGTTTACAGATGGCTGCGCATTGGCCTCAAGCTTTGGAAAATATTGATTTTTTATAAGAATGAAAAACGTGCTCATCTAATTTCACTCAAGAATCTGATTTGGGAAATGAAGAAATGGGTCAAGCATTTGAAAGTACATGGCAACAGGATCTAATCCTCATTGATCTTCTTATTGGACTGCCATTCGGCAGCTAGTGCTGGTTTGCTTTGTTTCCCCCTCTTCTGTTCTCTTCATTAAAACAATATTTGGTCATCTTGTTCTTGTATAATTATATTATTGGCTGATGATGTCATTCTTTTGAAATTGTTTATTTATGATGCACCCAAATCACTAGGTGCAGTAACCTATCTTCAAGACTGATTCTCTATCACTCTACTGCCCATCTCTGGTTAATTGCAGAACCAACATTTAAACATCACGTTCTCTTTTCTCCCTCCTGTGTTGCTTATTTGGATTCGGTAGTCTGATACCTTGGTTTTAGGATTGTCGTACTTTTACCTCTCTTCATTGTTGTTCTTCATTGGTTGTGGTACAAGGTAAACCTTAACACAAGAAACGGTCAGAGTTATATAGTCAATGACACGGACTCCTTTTGTAAAGTTTTTTTTGGTAAATACATATTATGATTGCGGAGAGAGATGATTGGGACAAATGCCATCATTTCATTAGGATAGGTATGTAGTTGTATAATTATTACTTTAGTGTTTATAAAGGTTGGATATCAAGATTAAAATACCGAGAGGACACAAATACCATATTTTACATTGCCGTCACTTGTTATTCGTTAGTCATAAGAGTGACACTATAATGCTTACGGATATAAATTCAGGGAGGATGGTGACTCTAGATTTGGGATGGGAATGCAAGTTGCCGTTAGATTTATTACTAGCATCTGATCACATTGCAACATTTGTAGTTGAATTTTTGAATTGTTTTTAGTCACGTTTCATTTCTTTCTGTGCAAATAATGTCTCAATTCACGAATATCAGGTTATTATATTGGGTTGGTAATGTTGTTTTTAATATATTTTGGATGTAGGTGAATGATAAAGATCTAGCAAAGGAGTTGTACAAAAAATACAGTGCTGTAAGTTTCTTTTATTTCTTGTACTTTAAAATAGCTATAGTATCCTGGCTTCTTCTCTGGACGATGGTGAAATAATGAGAATTTTTAGTGAGAAAATTATAGTTTTCCCAATCCACTGCTCACTGAATATTTTTTCACTCTCCCGTTTCTCTACCAGATTCCATCAAGGTGCCAGGGGATCCTGGAACCTGGGTGCAAGTTGCACTGATGCACCTTGAATCCATATGTACCATGAATAATCATGTATTGCATTAGATTGAACTATTTGTTATCATAGTATATTGATCTGCATTTATATATATATATATATATATATATTTATTCAATTCTTTCTACCTTTCTGATTCAGATTTCTTAAATGTCATAATGAGTCATGTTCATGGCTGGTCATGCATTTGGGTCATGTTCTTGTAATAAAAAACAAAAATATGAATTGCAAGGATCATGCCCACGTGATGTATTATAACTCCCTAAGATGAAGAAAATACTTTTTCTTTGGCCAATAGGAAGAAATTCTTAAGTAGTTTGCTCACATGAGAGGTTTACTCATGACTGTAAAATATGAAGAAGAAGAAGAAGAATCCTTGGTTTGTAATGATAGTCAGTGAACTTTGACTTACATGAGGGTTCTCATTTATAGGGAAGATACAGGATGAGGCCTTAAAGGCTCATAAGTATAGAAATAAATACACAATAATATTTATTAACTTCATAACTTTACTAATTAAAGAATAAGTCAACCTATTTACATTCCAACAATGACTCAATATGATAACTCTGGCATTTTCACTTGGATCAGTCTTTTATAATTTCAGTTTGATCATTTTGTTATGTTGATGATACAGATTCATAGACGCAAAATACGTGTTTGGCAAACAATTTGTGTCTTGTCGCCATTTGTTGAGCAAGATATAGTTGGGAAAGTTGCTGATTACTTGTACATATCACTTAATGTAAGTAGATCGTGCTGCATATTGCTTTATTTTTTCCATTTCAAATCAGCTTTTATTTGATGTGCATCTGATGTCAGTGTAGGCATCTTTTGTGGTGTCGGATAATGCCATGTCCTTCTTTCTATTCGTTTTCAAGTGGCTTATCAAATGGGTTTTTCTCCATATCATATCTTTGCTTTGAGTTTTTTGGGTGACAACTATCTGGCGTTCAGTACTATTTATTAATTCAAATTCAAGTATTGTCTGTCAAGTCCAAATGGACTAGCCACGTGATTTTTTCCATCTACTTTCTACCTTTTTTAAGGGGCGTCAAGTCCCTTCCAAATCTGACCCTCATTGGTTATTTACCGAGTTTTATGCAGAGCCATCAATGTCAATCTATGCATTGAGATTTAACACAGTTAAGGATGGAGATTATGTACTTTTCTTTCTCTCTTCTATTATATGTGAGGCCTTGGTTTATGTTCTTACATTTTATGTTTGACTTTATTTCCAATGCTCCATCCATTTTTTTCTTGTTGAAGCAAAATTTGTCAAACATACAAGTCAGACTTCGCAACCACTTTAGATTATTTATGTTTCTCTGCTTAGGATGCTTACTTCTCGGCAATAGCTTTTTTTTTTTTTGGCCAACTCGGCAATAGCATTAACATGAATCAATTTTTTTTTTTATTTTCCAACTGAGATTGATTATCTTTCTTGAACTAAGTAAAGATTTTTTTTTTGGGCAGAGAAATAACTTACCTGCTGTTCGTCAATATTTAGAGACATTTGCAATCAACATTTACTTGAAGTTCCCCTCACTCGTAAGACCTTATTTTACCCTTTTTCCTCACTTCTCTTGCTCTAGAAGTTTAATTACTGTCATTGTGGTAAATTGTTTTCTTAAAATATGTAACTGACTGGACTGGAAATGAAATCGTTAATGAAGGCTTAAAAGGGGCTTTCCTCCAAACTAAATAAAAAGCCTGCTAAGGATTTCTTTTATGTTTACTATGCATGATATGCTACCTTCTGATACAATCCCAAGTATTAATAATTACATCTTGTGGCTAGAATTGTATATGCACATTTTACTTTTAATTTCATAGTAGGCCAAGGAAATCTAATTATTCAACATTATGATATTATGCTTAGCTTGGTTACTTACTAAATGGAGTTCTGGCTTAGTTCTTGCTTCTTGTTAGAATTCATACATTAATCAGAGATCAGAAAAACCACTACTTTTTAGTTTTCCTGAGATCAATTGTTATCATCAGATGTTAATTAGTTGTTGATAGGCTAAATATTTTGTAGTGTTTTACATGTGCAACTTACAATGCAAACCAAGATCAATATAGAATACTCCCTCTGGTCTTATTTATAGGGCAAAGAGAGATGATTTTTTTGTCCTATTTATAAGTCACCTTATTAAATTTTCATCACAAAATTTTCCATTCCCATGTGACCTCCATTGAATATTGGAGGAAAAAAAATGTTGTTAAAGCATGTATAGAAATTATTAAATTTTTAAATAGAGTTAATAAGTTTTAAGGTTTTCTTTGGTTCCGATAAATCATCTTGGAAGCGCCTTATAAATAAGATCAGAAGAGTATAAATACATAGCAAGTCATACTATCATAAGCTATGAGTAGTGCGGTTCATTCTTCATACTCTATGCATTGCTAAGGAATGTGTCTACTTTTTCTTTATTTATTACCTGATTAACCTTTTCAAACCACTTCTCCTAATGCTCATACTTCCAGGTTAGAGAACAATTGGTTCCTATATTGCGGAATTATGACACAAGGCCTCAGGTGAAATAATTTTTCTATTGATGATTTTCTTTTCCATTTGTTGTATAAGTTTTCCATGTTTTATTTCTGATTAATTGCTACTTACTGCACTATTGGGCAAATTTAATTTGTAGACAAATAAACTAAGGCTATGAGTCATGCATAAGCTCTTTAGCGCAATTTAAATGTTTTCCGTGAATGGAAATGGTATGATTCATGATTGTGTTTATGCATGGCCTTCTTTTAGAATAAATTAAATAAATCCAATGCAAAAGTGAGATTGGCATGAGACAATTGACTCATTAAATTCCATTTATTGCTTTTAGGGAAAGACAATGTTTGGGCTCTGAAATTTGGAGAAAAAAGAAATATGCTATACATACTAGGTTGAGTCCGCTGTCTGTATGTTTGAATTTTGAGTTATACTGAGTTTCTGTTTACGCATGTCAACCTTATTTTTGAGCTTGCTGTAAGATGAACTTTATTTAATAGGTGCGAGCATAAAACAACAACAACAAGCCTTTATCCCACTAGGTGGGGTCGGCTACATGGATTGCAAGACGCTATTGTGCTCTATCATTTATCAAGCTTTTAGGAATATTATTAATTAACAGATCGCGTTCAATAACTTTCAAAAGTGTTCTCTTAGGCCTTCCTCTACCTCTTTTAATCGGACTCAAAGTTATATGTTCCACTCTTCTCACTGGTGCCTCCCTTGGTCTTCTTTGTACATGCCTAAATCATCTCAACCGATTTTCTACCATTTTTTCCTCAATAGGTGCCACTCTTATTTTTTCGTGTACGTGCTCATTTCGAATTTTATCTTTACGTGTATGTCCGCACATCCATCGTAACATTCTCATCTCTGCTACTCCAACTTTATGCTCTTGCTGTCCCGTTAGAGCCCAGCATTCACTACTATATAACATTGCCGGTCT